GCCACATACACAAAGCGAACTTAGCGCTAAGACTATCGTCACTCATAAGAGACATTAGCATTAAGACAGTCGTCGCATTTTTAATATATTTATAAATATATACAATGGATTTCTATGGTATCCAACTCGAAGCTCTTCAACGGTGCATCACAAAGTCTGGGAGGGATAGAAGGTTATCGTCACATGACTTATCCCACCGGGTACCCATTTTCTGCTGGTTGCGCATTGGGAGTTTTAAAGAATTACGATTCTGTAGCTTTCAGCGATAAGTGAGTCCCAATGATACCTTGGTCACGTGATATATGCTGTTGACAGCTCCGAGGCCAAACAATGACATAACTCTGAGCGAGTCAACACAATCAACTCAGTAACACACATGCATTATTGATCCTGTAATGCATTTATATTACACAGGAGGCTTTCGCACACAGGATGTTCAGATGAGCTAATCATAATGTTGTTGTTACTAGTGACGTATACACAGAGATTCAATTACATTCTCAACTCCCTTAGGATCACTCTCTGGTACATACATAAGTTTAACTATATTTTTCGACACACTTAATACCCCTGAGAGAAAGGGAGGGGGGTTGTGGTGGTCGTGGGGGTCGCATGGTTGGTCAAGCAGTATTCGCTGTACAAAATTTCCTCCCTTTGTTATATCAGGATCAGCTACATGGGATGCACTGGGGTGCTCCTGATAGACGATACGGACATGTTTCGATAATTCATGTGCCTTACAGCGCACATGCCATCATCGAACTTCGTTCCGTCGATTTCGGATAAAGAGCTGGTGACATTGCTGAGATGAGTTAACTTGGTATTTCAAGGCATCATACACTGTCTAAACATAAACATTATGACATAATATTTTAATAATGAATCCGTATTCGTAGTTGATATTATCATTCCATCTTTTAAAGCCTTTTCAAAATGGCGACTGTCAGAGGTTGGTTGTGACGTGATACTGGATTATTTGCACAAACATAGAATAGATGTGTATTGAATGTTACAAATGGATGAATAAGTGATGCATAGCGTCATTATATGTATCATATATCTGTTATACAAAGCTAGAAGAAGTGAAAGACCAGAAAATGACAAATATTGACCCTAAATGTTCCATTATTGGCATTAAATCACTCTGTCGGTTGTCTCGAACCATGGATTACCCAAAATGTCCCCATGTGTTCGACTATTCACAACTGCCTTTAACCATAATCACCCATGCACTCAGTCCAAACTCTCTGTTCAGAACTTGAAACAACGAAACTAAATATTAACGCAAGTAAATAGAAGCGAAAAAACCCTTTCCACATCTAGAAGAAATCTCTGCTAAAAGCAGAGTCGATTGTTCAGTTGTGACTATATCATGAGTATATATTTGTTTCAGCAGTATTACAGCTGTACGATGTTGTTTATAAACAAATCTAGTCTGGACCAGGCAATCCGGTGATTGTCACCATGTGATACGATGACAGAGCTTGTGTTTATGAATCACTATGAAATAGTGATGACACCAGGTGTTGGCGAAAAGGTGAGCTACCGTGTCTACCATAATACTTCTTGAAAGCTTTACAGAGGCCTTGAATATCGTACCCATGATCAAACAACTTCAGGGCAAGAGTGGCATGACGTTCTTTGAAATCCTGATAGAAAGAGCACGCTCGATAAACCTATTCTGTTAGAAAGGGTCATTTCTTGATAAGTTTACCACAATTTTTATTAAAAATAATGGCAGACTACGTCCTCTCCCCTCTACACGCACGCACGCGCGCACACACACACACACACCCCCTTACGCTTACTCCTCAATATTACTTTATTGAGTCTATGGGTATTAACGTCCAACACATTTCCACTCGGGCATCAAAATTATGCTCTTCCTCTAGTAGTCAATAAGATGACTGGCCTGCATCAAGGACATCCAAAAGGGTTGTAATCAAGTTACAAGATGTAAGAATACCATTGTACAGATTGCGATCCAGTGTCAAGTATACAGTATTAATACATTACATTCTACAACCATCATGATCACTGGCCCTGATCCAGCATACGGAAAGTGACAATCAAGTAAAGAGACTGAAGGACGCAGTCCAGTGGTTTCAACGCCTGACTTGAGGAACATCGTCCACACAGATTGCTTCACTCAATATTGCCAATGAAATGCTGGCTGCTTCAAGAGGACGGTGTTCTGCAGCTAATCTAGCGGAAGGCTTGACCGATGGCTACTTCCAGACAGCTTAGACTATCAATAGTCGAACCTGTATGAAATCCCATCAAGGGAGGCTGGGACGTTTGTAAGTGGAATTATTTGTATTCTGATAAAACGTAATTTGCCATTGGTATATTACATTACAATAGATAACATGTTGTCGTCCTGGAAAATAAACTGATGTCATATTTTTCGGGACCTCCGCATCAACTGTGGTATTGGTGCCACGGCTTTCTGCTGTTTTTTAGATAGAGTTGCCTGTGTAATATTAAGAGGTAATGTGTATATATTTAAGAAGTCTCACAAAAAATGTCCCAAATAAGCACATCTGGCTGGCATTAAAACTGAAACGAACTGAAAAATTAAAGTCTTAAAAGTCCGTCCCTTGATTGGTCGGGGATTTATGCCTGGGACTGAAGTCGTGTTCTCGAATATTCACGTTTGTCGTTTTGGTGGACGAGAACATCTGCGAATGTCATGAATGATCACGTGACTTTCCATATATGGATATACTGTTACATGAGACAGGAGACACCACTTGGCAGTGTTGAGCATCTCCGATAAACTGGCGTATATTTCATGCAAGAGCAACGACTACAGGAACGATCGCTGTACCAGCTCCTGTGAGCAGTAGAGATTGTTTTATACGTCACAACCAATGACAGCAGCAAAAGTGATCATTTCACAGAAACAAAAAGGTTTGAACAGGAACATGTCCCCCGCCGTGATATTGCTAGATTGCTAAAAGCCGCGTAAAACTACACTCAGTCAGTCAGTCATGGGTGTACGGATTCTTGTTTCATCAGGGTTCTCAGACATTATCAGAAAATTCAAGAAAATGCAAAAAATGTAAGGCTTTGAAAAAAAGAATATCGGACCTATCTTCAAACGGATTATAATAAAGCACTATAAACAGGTACAGAAAATACGAGACGTTTTGAATCTTCTCCTTCTAAATTATCAAAGTATGTGAAATACAATCATTGGTCACGTATACTCCTGGCCATCACTATATGCGATACACAATATATTCAGTTGTTTCGTCCATGACATGGCGACTATCTCGTCTAATTCCGTCCACGTGACTATCACGTGACACAGCACAGCATGGCGGACGAATTTGCCTGATGTACACTTTGAATGTTTGACTTGAACTTCAAATGAGAAACTATGCAACGATGCTATGAGCACAGGAGTGAGTGAGAGAATGAGTGAGTTAGTTTTACGCCACACTCAGCAAGATTCCAGCTATATGGAGGTAGTCTGTAAATAATCGCGTCTGGACCAGACAATCCAGTGATCAACAGCATGAGCATCGATCTACGCAGTTGGGATACGAAGACATGTGTCAACCAAGTCAGCGAGCCAAACCACCTGATCCCGTTAGTCGCCTCTTACGACAAGCCTTGGTTACTGAAGATCAATTCTAACATCTAACATGTCACATCCTGGACGTATATGCATGTGTACTCACATTCGACATACACCTGTTGGTTGAGTGACATTCAACATACACATGCTGGTTGATTGACATTCGACATACACAAGTTGGTTGTGACACATTCGACATATACAAGTTGGTTACGCCACATTCGACATGCACATCTTGCTTTGACCCACATTTGACATCAATATGCTGGTTGAATCATTCAGGATGAACCTTTTTTTAACACATATTCGGTATTCGGGATGAATATGAAATAAATTTACCATTTTAATGAACCCCAGAAGGTATGGTACAGAACACCCAGTATCGTACCAGCGTATCGTGGCCATGCAAAGGGACGCTGCAACTCTACTCAACAAACACCTGCAACCAATTGGCAAACCACTTACTTGTTCTTTGCCACCATCGAACATAGACGCATACTATTCTTTGACCCAGCAGGTATTTCGGGAAATATTAAGGCAGCCCCTAAGGATCACTTCCAAAACTTACCCTCTAAAACAGATCACTTTTTTATTCTGTGTACATGATACAGTATGAGTACAGATACAATCTCCATTCTCGCAAAGTAGGGATAGAATGACTTGAGTCAAACATTCTGGGGGCTGCGATATTTACACATCACAGACCCCCTTTAATAGGTCTCCGCTCCTTCACAATGCTGCATCAGGCTGGGCGTTATCAGCTGTTAAAATCTAACTTTTCATGTAACAAAAATAAATATTTTCTTTCGATAGTATCTACACATAAAAATCATTACGACCATCGAACGAGAATGGTCACGGCGAGATGTGTTATGGGATATATGGGTTTCCATAATTAAAGTGGAACGCGTAATAGTATTTATTGATACATAAACCAGATGTGTCCCTATTGGTAAACGATATTATTGACACGTACTTTGTGATTCACATAATGAAAGCACCCATCGATGCAGTAGACAGGTGGTATAACGCCACGATGCCACAATGGTACTCGGGGATATATAATTGTTGATAGTACCACGAGAATTCAGCTGTATGTATACACCAAGGACAAGAAGCTATTATACTCTATCATTGCAGAAAGACATTCTCTTTGTGGCTTTAGATGTCAGGTGACCGCCAGGCACAGCAAGGTCGTTTGATGAATAATGATGATATGTATTATAACATGAACGGTGAAATGTAAACAAATAAACATCAAAACATGGCGATGATATAATGGTCATTCGTTTCCTGTATTTGCAATGGCGGCCGGTAACCTCAAGGTCGTTGTTGGAGAACTAAATCTTATATCGTGATGAGAAAGGAGTTATCCAAACGGCGTGTTGAGATGCCGCGAGGTCTCAGTACTTACCTCGTTCAGCCATGTGTCTCCCGCCAAAACCCGAACACGGCAGACGATAGTTCCGTCAGCAGACGACAACTCTAACACACAAGCACAGCCTAATTCCAACCCGTGTTCATCTCGTGTAATCCGCAAATTATTAATCCATGTCTGTTAGGTCGACAAATCGTGATATTGTACGCTGTTACCCAGACTTGACACCTCTCCACTGAAATTTTCGTCTTCCAGCACTGTCGTCTGCTTCCACTAAATGGATGCAAAAGTCCCAAAGCGTTTAACGACGGATCGATCGTGGGGATATTTCCAAGCAGCAGTAGCATACACGTAGTCAGAGCCGATCTCACTCAGGCGGTTTCTGCTCAAGGTTGGCTATATCGCAATAATTGAGTTCTGCTGCCAAACTCCTCGCATCGTAATCTGAATTAGAGGGAGCATCCCTACCTGTCTAAATGTCATCAGATATAGCCTCCAGACAAGATACCATGGGGTCCGAGAAGCATCATAATTATCATATCTATAACGTGACGATCTCAATTATTATGTTTTAGGAGGTCACAGCTGGCTTGTGTGTTTTATCTGGTTGAGCAGTAAAGGGACCAGGTCTTCTCCAGATAACGACAGCAGCCATGGATGGTGGTGCCACGCACGGTGACATGTGCTCGTGTACGCGCTACACAGGTTCAGGGCATATCATTGACATTGTTTAAATGTTGACATGGATTTTCTAAATTAATAATTTATGCTATAAGTTTTAGGTTTACAGTATTTGGTAATATTAGCTTTTGGCTTGATTCTCTGAAGACGAACTGTTTTCATCTCGAGTTTCAGTGTAATTAGGGTAGGGTAGCCTTGTGGTTAAAGCTTTCGCTCGTCACGCCGAAAACCCGGATTCGATTCCCCACATGGGTACAATCTGGGAAGCCCATTTCGTGTGTCCCCCGTTGTGATACTGCTGGAATATTGATAAAAGCGATGTAAAACTCACTATCTCAATTCTGTGTAATTACCGCTGTACTGGATATTTTAGTGAATAATATGTGTAACGGTCATTGGTTTGAAGCTTTCATTTTCTACCACGTCTTTGGTACCGTATGGATATAACATCCTGAAAACATCATCCGTAAACCAATATTTCCCTTATCCAATGGAAACACCGCATGAGCATGTATAAAAGCCTGTCAAATTCATAGCCATGTTATAATAAAAAAGGTAATTATCTACTGCGTGCTACCCGACTTATGGATGTAATCCCCATGCTGTAGTATATCTCGTGAGGTAGGATCTAACCGACTTATGGATGGAATCCCCATGCTGTAGTATGTCTCGTGAGGTAGGATCTACCCGACTTATGGATGTAATCCCCATGCTGTAGTATGTCTCGTGAGGTAGGATCTACCCGACTTATGGATGTAATCCCCATGCTGTAGTATGTCTCGTGAGGTAGGATCTACACGACTTATAGATGGAATCCCCATGCTGTAGTATGTCTCGTGAGGTAGGATCTACCCGACTTATGGATGTAATCCCATGCTGTAGTATGTCTCGTGAGGTAGGATCTACCCGACTTATGGATGGAATCCCCATGCTGTAGTATGTCTCGTGAGGTAGGATCTACCCGACTTATGGATGTAATCCCCATGCTGTAGTATGTCTCGTGAGATTGGATCTACCCGACTTATGGGTGGAATCCCCATGCCGTAGTATGTCTCGTGAGGTAGGATCTACCCGACTTATGGGTGGAATCCCCATGCTGTAGTATGTCTCGTGAGGTAGGATCTACCCGACTTATGGATGTAATCCCCATGCTGTAGTATGTCTCGTGAGATTGGATCTACCCGACTTATGGGTGGAATCCCCATGCCGTAGTATGTCTCGTGAGGTAGGATCTACCCGACTTATGGATGGAATCCCCATGCTGTAGTATGTCTTGTGAGGTAGGATCTACCCGACTTATGGATGGAATCCCCATGCTGTAGTGTGTCTCGTGAGGTAGGATCTACCCGACTTATAGATGGAATCCCCATGCTGTAGTATGTCTGGTGAGGTAGGATCTACCCGACTTATGGATGGAATCCCCATGCTGTAGTATGTCTCGTGAGGTAGGATCTACCGACTGAGCAGGTAGTAGCGATCGTAGCACTACTGTCGTAAGTCTATGTCAAATTATGGGAGTTACGACTGTCGTACGTAACGCTACAATCGCTTTGAGGAACGGTGCCCTGTCGCCACCGAAGCAGAATGGCTAGGTGCACTTGAGAGTAGTCGGTAGTAGAGGTACTTGTCTTGGTGTGTTATGGTGACGTGCATATAGGTGACGACATGGACTCACCAAGATGTAGCTTGTAATTTTGTAGTTACGTAACTGAGGTGAGATACGTGTGCTTTCAGTACGTATGGCAAAGAAGGTATGTTTGTGAGGCGAGTATCTAGGAAGACGTGGGTATCTTAGTGCGGTAAATACTTACTGTGAGGTGGGCATGTTTGTGAGGCGAGTATCTAGGAAGACGTGGGTATCTTAGTACGGTAAATACCTACTGTGAGATGGGTATGTTTGTGAGGTGAGTGTCTAGGAAGACGTGGGTATCTTAGTACGGTAAATACCTACTGTGAGGTGGGTATGTTTGTGAGGTGAGTATCTAGGAAGACGTGGGTATCTTAGTACGGTAAATACCTACTGTGAGATGGGTATGTTTGTGAGGTGAGTATCTAGGAAGACGTGGGTATCTTAGTACGGTAAATACCTACTGTGAGGTGGGTATGTTTGTGAGGTGAGTATCTAGGAAGACGTGGGTATCTTAGTACGGTAAATACCTACTGTGAGGTGGGTATGTTTGTGAGGTGAGTATCTAGGAAGACGTGGGTATCTTAGTACGGTAAATACCTACTGTGAGGTGGGTATGTTTGTGAGGTGATTTATCTAGGAAGACGTGGGTATCTTACTGCGGTAAATACCTACTGTGAGGTGGGTGTGTTTGTGAGGTGATTTATCTAGGAAGACGTGGGTATCTTACTGCGGTAAATACCTACTGTGAGGTGGGTGTGTTTGTGAGGTGAGTATCTAGGAAGACGTGGGTATCTTAGTACGGTAAATACCTACTGTGAGGTGGGTATGTTTGTGAGGTGAGTATATAGGAAGGCGTGGGTATCTTAGTACGGTAAATACCTACTGTGAGGTGGGTATGTTTGTGAGGTGATTTATCTGGGAAGACGTGGTTATCTTAGTACGGTAAATACCTACTGTGAGGTGGGTATGTTTGTGAGGTGATTTATCTAGGAAGACGTGGGTATCTTACTGCGGTAAATACCTACTGTGAGGTGGGTGTGTTTGTGAGGTGATTTATCTAGGAAGACGTGGGTATCTTACTGCGGTAAATACCTACTGTGAGGTGGGTGTGTTTGTGAGGTGATTTATCTAGGAAGACGTGGGTATCTTACTGCGGTAAATACCTACTGTGAGGTGGGTGTGTTTGTGAGGTGATTTATCTAGGAAGACGTGGGTATCTTACTGCGGTAAATACCTACTGTGAGGTGGGTGTGTTTGTGAGGTGAGTATCTAGGAAGACGTGGGTATCTTAGTACGGTAAATACCTACTGTGAGGTGGGTATGTTTGTGAGGTGATTTATCTAGGAAGACGTGGGTATCTTACTGCGGTAAATACCTACTGTGAGGTGGGTGTGTTTGTGAGGTGAGTATCTAGGAAGACGTGGGTATCTTAGTACGGTAAATACCTACTGTGAGGTGGGTATGTTTGTGAGGTGAGTATCTAGGAAGACGGGGGTATCTTAGTACAGTAAATTCCTACTGTGAGGTGGGTATGTTTGTGGAGTGAGTATCTAGGAAGACGTGGGTATCTTAGTACGGTTAATACCAACAGTGAGGTGGGCATGTTTGTGAGGTGAGTATCTAGGAAGACGGGGGTATCTTAGTTCGGTAAATACCTACTGTGAGGTGGGTATGTTTGTGAGGTGAGTATCCAGGAAGACGTGGGTATCTTAATGCGGTAAATACCTACTGTGAGGTGGGCATGTTTGTGAGGCGAGTATCTAGGAAGACGGGGGTATCTTAGTACGGTAAATACCTACTGTGAGGTGGGTATGTTTGTGAGGTGAGTATCTAGGAAGACGTGGGTATCTTAATGCGGTAAATACCTAAGGTAGTTGCGAGGTAGTTGTGGCTTCAGTGCTGTAGGTGCCTGGTTGAAATAGATTGAAATAGGGTGAAATAGTTTTGAAGAGTAGGTTAGCTAGTCGGGTATCTGTGTGAGGTAGGTGTCTGGGTGAGATAGATGTCTGTGTGAAGTAGGTATCTGGGTGAGATAGGTGTCTGTGTGAGATATGTGTCTGGATGAGACAGATGTCTGGGTGAGATAGGTGTCTGTGTGAGGTAGGTGTCTGTGTGAGATATGTGTCTGGATGAGACAGATGTCTGTGTGAGGGAGGTGTCTGTGTGAGATAAGTGTCTGGGTGAGATAGATATCTGTGTGAGGTAGGTGTCTGTGTGAGATAGGTGTCTGTGTGAGGTAGGTGTCTGTGTGAGATATGTGTCTGGATGAGACAGATGTCTGTGTGAGATAGGTGCCTGTGTGAGGTAGGTATCTGTGTGAGATATGTGTCTGGATGAGACAGATGTCTGTGTGAGGTAGGTGTCTGTGTGAGAAAGGTGTCAGGAATAGGTATTAATCTGTGTGAGAAAGGTGTCAGGGAGAGGCCTGAGTCTGTGTGAGATAGGTGTCAGGAAGAGGTAGGTGTCTGTGTGAGACAGGTGTCTGTGTGAGGTAGGTGTCAGGAAGAGGTAGGTGTCAGGAATAGGTATTAATCTGTGTGAGGTAGGTGTCAGGAAGAGTCTAGTCTGTGTGAGAAAGGTGTCAGGAAGAGTCCAGTAATTGTCTAGTAGTTTGGGCACCTTGAGAAGACGGAATCAGTTTCGACAGATTGTGCTAAATATCTTGAACAATCGACGCTCCACTCCTCTGAGACAACTAAGAGTGTTATCGGTTTAAAGCCATGACAGACATAACCCAATATGGCCTTTACTGCAGGCTTCAATAGGCAAAGATGGCGTTTTGTGCTCCAGTCACGACAGGCAGCCAGTAATACACGTTTGGAAAGGACTAGCTGCATATCAATCGGAACACACCGAAGTGTGTGGGAACTTCACGAAAGTTAACGAGAAAGACCGAGCGGCACGTCATCTGATCCTGCGGGACATGATATATATCCCCACTCACACAACTTCAAAACAGAGAAAGGAAATGAAACTATCACGGAAATTGCCGAGGCAATGACGCCGTAAGATGAGCCGAAAGTGGGGAAATGATCCTGAGTCTAAAATAAAAGATACAAAACCCTTTCCATAATCAGAAAACCTCTCTGCTGCAGACGCCATTGTAAGATCATGAGCAAGTGTTTATGGGTAATTGACCAATAGTGATGATTCCAGGTCTTCGTCAAAACGCGAGGGGAGGTAGTAACGATCAATATTTTGAACTAAACTCGGATCTTGTGAAGCTCACAAGACTTCTCCATTGCCCCCCACACGCCAAACATCTGGGTTCGATTTCTCATATGTGTACAATGTGCAAATGGTTAAATTGTTCGCTCGCAACGC